TTAAACCAGCCATATCGATACTGATAATGATACGTACCCCAAGATTATTTTTATTAGTTTGATGGGTAGATAATCTAAACTCAACTCCTTCAACTGATCATACAGTAAGACAATTAAGCTACTCCATAGATTACATAGTTAATCTCATGCCTATTGAAGCTGTGCTGAGAGTAAGGTAATTTAGGTTAATTTAACGAAATTATAACATATATACTCCCTAAACTGTGAGTCCCCTATCCCTACTCAGTACTTTAATCTAACTAGGACTGATCCATTACACCTGTAGGTATATTCCCTCTTTGCCTAAATAAACATGTCTAACAATTGGGACGTCTAACTAATGGGACGTCTAACTAATGGGATATACGGATTTAGCGGTATTTGGATCAGTTTCTTTATTTAGTTGGGTGGAGAGAGATATGTCGATTATGGGGGCTTGGAGTTTGGATATGAAGGTGTTATTTGGTGCTGTGTTTAGTTTTAAATGATTAAGGTTGTGTGTATTTAGGTAGCTTATAATGCTTGAGGGTTTTGCAAATTAGCGCTTAAATTGGAGTCTGGGGCTTATATGTTGGTTTTAAGGATTTGTAGGTTTTGTGGGTGTTTGTTGGGTTGAAGCCCAGTAATATATTGTTAGATGTTCTCGGCGTAGATCCAGGGGGATTTCGCTTGTAAGTGCCTGTAGCGATATGCGCGGCGTGCCATGCTGAGTGCGTGTGATTATCTTTAGTGCTTGAAATTGAATTGAGTTTAGTTCATGGCTTAATGAAGAGTTTAAGGTGTTGTATATTTGACCTCCATAGTCTATTTTTGATCTAATTAGTAATTGGTAGAGTGATAGAAGGGTTTTCTTTGGAGGCCACACAGTTCGAACCTGCCAGGCTGTGTTTTTAGGTCTTTAGTGCATCTATTTGTTAGGGTTTTGTTAGGGTGAGCACCCCAGATGAGGTTTAGTCCTGGAAATTTGTTTGTTTGTTTTTAATTTTATGTGTGTTTTTGTTGATGTTTTACATATTTCTGTGTTGAATGCTATGCCCGTAGTCTTTTCGACATTTTGTGAGAAATCTTATTCATTTGCCAATCTTTTAATTTTATTCTGTGCATTCTGCAGTAATCTTTTAGCCATATTTATGCTTCTGGTGTGGATCCAGAGGGCTCCGTCATCCGCGTGTTTGAAAGTTTGAATTTTATTGGGTTTTTTCCTCGAATAGGTCATTAATCATAATGTTGAAAGTAGTATAAAAGTAATACCTTCAGCACCTTCCGTGGAAGGTGCCCTATGAATATTCATGAGCCTATTGTTATGCTAATAGACATGCATGACGTCACAATGAGAACGGCGTCATTAGGCATGCATGTTAAGAATGTCAAGAATGCGGCCTTTGTTAAGAATGTCAAGAAGGCGGCCTTTGTTAAAATGTCATGGTTGAAGAATTCTTTAGGAATCCCAGCTATGTGGAATGTAGTCGGGGTTGATATCTTCACATGAGTAAACCAGAATGAATGAATGAATATTGTTTTACGCCGCATCAGCAATTTTCCAGCATCGACAATATCTATTATACCATATTTAAACGTGCACAAGCCTCTCTCGTTATTTAGTCACGAGTCACTGATTCACTCTTGGTGGTAGAAGCAATAGTTTTCTTTCACATCTTTAGATTATTTTATATTTCCTGTTTCATTAAAAGGCAGCTTGTTCACTTGAACGCACACGCTAAACAGCTGATGGGTCGTTAAGTACGGTATTCAATCGCCGAGGTAGAATCGACTTTATCGTTTCGTTGTAAAGTAAACATACTACAGCGACTGTCGAACATTGAAATAAACTATGTTTAAAAGTGAACGATCAGTCCAGTTTGGTTCTTGACTTAGAGTGGAAGCAATATTCGCCGTCTCCCGTTGAGATTCACGTTTACATCTTGTTTTTTGGTAACTGAACGAAAATTGTACAACATGTCATCTCCCGATGGACATTGCGCCCGAGATTTATTGGTGAGATCTGAGGTTAATCGTCAAGTCGCTGACGAACGCAGAAGAGGCATATGTATCAGACCCTTTCACAGGGAGGACGCTGTAGTCGGAACTCTGGTTGGTTTACTGATGTTAGCAATCACCATTTTGACCATCGTTAATGCGGTTACTATTTCGAATAGGAAAAATAAAACTTCACAGCAAATAGACAGTGAACTATTTTTTTGACGACCCTCCTATTGAACCAACCCTCAGTCTACAGTCTATCAACGCTTCTTCACAGTGCTCGAACACTCAGTTTGTCTTATCCTATTCAACACGAGCTGTCGTTTGTCGTAGCGAAAATCGCACCGTGCTTGACGTCAGACAGTTTCTGAATGAGAAACCAACAATAAAAGGTATAACGCTAACTCAGGGCGAATGGAAAATGATGTTAGTCTGAAACCTTTCATCCGTGCACAAATCAGATCCATGAATGAACGGACAATGAATAAACGAACACTGCCTGTATGATCTCCACGAACAATTTAAAATTATATATTTGGGCTATCAACAATGGGCTTAAAGACGATGAAAAGAAGAAAGTACTCGAAGTTTACTACACTCATCAATGAAAACCTGCATGCCATAGAATATAACAGTTGTAGCGATATGTACTCGAATAAAAATACTTTCATCTAATGATAGCAGAAATTGCTTGAACGGTAACGGTAACGCGAAAGCCGAAGGTCCTAAGGAGCGGAAAACGACACCAATAAAATATCACATCGATACGCTACATGAGGATGGTGTCGATATAAGAGTATGTCATACGTTGAAATATGCTTTGTTTTATAGTTGAACATTCATGTGTTTCTGATTCTCTGTGAACGAGTGTTTACATGAATAATATACGTTGTGTTTACATGAATAAAATACGCTGTTTATCACGCTCTGATTGTTTTGTCCTCATTGCTTATCGTTCTTAGATATCGTTAGTTTATCTTAACATGTATTTATGCGGAGACGAATATCGCTCTCTCGCAGTTGAATCATGGCTACAGACACAGCACATTCCTCTACGGAAAAGGCATTAGAAAATTATTATTTTAACCCTCGTAATCCGGGTGCATTCTATGGTCCAATAAAATTCAAACAAGCATTGCAGAAACAGGGAAACAGCAAGTATAAAGTCAAGAAAATAAGACAATTTTTGAATGACAAAGATGCTTATTCGCTGCATAAGCCGGTGAAATATAGGTTTCCACGTTTGAGAGTTCGGGTGAACAGCCGAGATGAAATGTGGGATATTGACTTGGCAGATGTGAGTCGTTATGCTAAGAAAAATGATGAAATACGATATTTACTAATCGTTATTGATATCCTCTCTAGGTATTTGTGGGTTGTCCCATTACTGAATAAAAAGACTATGACGGTCACCAAGGGGTTGAGAACAATCTTCAAAGAAGGTCGTTTTCCGATAAAAATTCGCGTTGACAAGGGCAAGGAATTTTCTGGAGAGTTTAGAATGTATGTGTCTAATCAAAACATAAAGCTGATTGTGACTCAAAACGAAGATATAAAGGCTAATTATGCCGAGAGAGTCATTAGGACGTTGAGAATGCTCATGTCTAGATATATGACACACAACAACTCTGAAAAATATATTGATGTGTTACAAGATTTAGTGTATAACTATAATCATAGTCAACATAGAAGCCTCGGACATTGGGCCCCTGCTGATGTGACTAAGACAAATGAACTCAAAGTGTGGAAGCACTTGTACGTTAGACCCATGCTGATACATGTAAAAAGCAAGAAGCCTTTCCATAAATTTGAGTATAAGGTGGGTGATATTGTACGTGTAAGTTATTTGAGAAGAACCTTTAGTAAAGAACACAACCTACGCTTGACTGAAGAATTATTCAAAATTGCTTCGCGAACACGACGACATGGTATACCTATCTACACATTGAATGATTTCCATGATGAGGCCTTAAAAGGTCGATTTTACGAGCAAGAGCTTCAAATGGTAAACAAAGACTGAGACCACGTATGGAATATTGAAAAGGTGTTGAAGAAAAAGCGAAAAAAAGGAAAAGAGTATTATTTGGTGCGTTGGACTGGATGGCCATCCAGTTTCGATTCGTGGGTAGAAGAAAATCAGGTGCAAAACATTCAATGAACATTGGTTGTCATTATGGACAAGTATGTGGTCTTCAACAGTTCAGATTCCAAAGACTATTTTAAAAACACACCCTATCGCTTCCGCGTCAAATTGTCACATCGTGTTCGATTCGAAGGTGTTTGGATGGTAGCATTAGCTGACTTAAAATTTGGTAAATTGGATCTGACAAATATTAATAACCCTTATATAGACGTGTTGTGCAATTTGTGTGACAGTACATGCGTTGGGGAAGAGTTTAGGCCCTTACTTAGACGTGTCGATTTAAGAGATGGACCCAATTACCAATTTGAACATTTGTGGTTTATGCCAATAATACTAAAAGATGCCTCTGAGATTGAAATATACATAAACAGTGCACATGATATGGCACATTCATTTCTAAAAGAAGACGTGAACGTGTCACTTCTCCTACGACATTATCCCTTTATGCATTGAGTATGGAGCGTCGTCTGTACATTCCTGATACACAACGGTGGATACAGTTCTTTGAACGTCGATCTAAAGCTATCAAAGCTGTAGTGAAAGGTCGTCCTCAATCCACCATGATTCCCATCTTATCTACTCTAGAACGCGCAGCAGCAATAACGAGTCGAGGATCTCCTAAAATAGAATTGACATCACAAAACCAGGATGTGGTCGAAAGGGCCGAGGCTTCTCAGATGCGAGACAAAACTATAAAACGAAAAGCTGGTGACAGGATTGTCACAACTAAGAAAGTGCGGCTTGAGGGTAAGAAGACTCTCCAGTTCAAGAACACTGCCACCATTGGAAAGAAGGATATATTCACTGACTAACCATGTCCGTTTTGACAGAGAAGAATTTTATCGAGGCGTTGCCATCAAGTTTAGACCTATTCGAAATGCCACCTTATCAAACGAGCATCAGTCAACATTACTACGTGAACGTACGACCCCTCTCTGCTATCACTGACGGTAGCCCTGTGGAATTTCTTATCTCTAACGGCGGAAGTGACTACATAGATCTGAGACGAACTCGTTTACATGTCAAATTGAGAGTCACTCATGACGATGGAAGCGTGCTGACTGATAAAGAACACATAGGGCCAGTCAACCTGTTCATGCAATCTCTCTGGTCTCAGGTGGCTGTGTATCTGCAAGGACAGTTAGTCAGTTCCAACAATGGTGGCTATCCCTACAAAGCGGTCATCCAAACGTTGCTTGGATACGGTGCTGAAGCCAAATGCAGTCAACTCCAATCGCAGCTGTTTTACAAAGATACCGGTGAGACTGCTGCTGACCTTGATTCTACAAATCCATTGGGTGGAGGAAATGATGGTCTTTTCAATCGAGCACAATTTATTGCTGGAAGCAAAACTTTAACCATGTCGGGTCCGCTGTTGGAAGACGTGTTTAAGCTTAATCGTCACTTTGTCAATGGAGTCGATGTCAGTATCAAACTCTTCAGATCCAGTCCACAATTTACACTTATGTCTGGAGCTAGTGACAAAGAGTACAAAATAGAACTGCAAGACGTGTATCTGAAAGTTTGCAAGCTGAGAATGAATAACGCACTGGTTCTGGCTCATGCTAAACAGTTTGAGACTGCCAATGCACTGTATCCTTACATGAAAACGAGCATCAGACAAGCTAGTATTAGTGCATCACAGATGGGATACACCTTTGACAACTTATTTCTAGATCACTGTCCCACTCGCGTCGTTGTCGGTTTCGTCAGTGGGGAGGGCGTGAGCGGTTCTTACGCTCAAAACCCGTTCAACTTCCAGGGTTCAATCATTAAAACAGTGGAACTGTACCTAGATGGGGTTAGTGTACCTGGTGGTTCGGTTGAGGCAGACGACATAGAAGCCTTTGTCAACTTGTTTGAAGGAGCCAACACCTGGAGAGAGGACAGAGGCAACCATATAGAAAGAACAGAGTTTCAAATCGGCAACGCCCTGTTCGTCTTCAATTTAGAACCACTCTCTATCGATGATAGTTATCTAAACTTTATCAAATCGGGTAACCTCAGACTCGAAGTACAATTCAAGACGGCTCTCACAAAGACACTCAACGCTATAGTACTCTCTCAGTCACTTGCCCTTCTAGAAGTCGATCAAACGCGTAATGTGTTTATCAAGTAAACTACAACACGAACAAGGAACAGCTACGGTGTGCCATTGACAACGTGATTACGTATGGTGGAAGTGTATGCATGAGACACTTTCAAGTATACAGCAACCATATTCACAGCGAGAATGGGATGTATACTCATCGCTCATCGTTCCCGTTCAGGAGTACTTTGGGTGACCATGCATTTTGCAAATAATAATGCAGAAGTTTTTGATATTTTTCTGACACCCACCTAGTTACTAATATCAAGAATTTAGTTCGTTTTATGAAACAGCATCGTATTACATTTAAAGATAACACCCAAATGCTACAGCAGTCTAACTCGAGTGTCTGCGGATTGTATTGCTTATATTATTTGCTGCAGAAATGTAGTACAGATATATAACTCGAAGGTATTGCGTCTACCTTTACACTCGATAAACTTCCAAATGATATCTATGTATAATAAATATATATGTCAATATTTACAAATTGTATGACTTCAAATGTCCATTGTATTCAATAAACTGTTTTGTATTGAGAGAAACATCTATGTAATCTGTTTGTTTGAGCTCATGTTTTCATTCTAAAGTGAGACGTCGTAAGCGAAAGACCATGGCGCGATACGTGTTAAGACATTACGATTTTCTGAGACACATATTAGCATTCAATGACAGACGTGATATTTTAGAAGATATTATAGGCATGACCAGGGAGCAGATATTAGCGGTGGTAGCCATTGTCAGACGGTTACTTGAAAACCGGTTAGCCGTGACTAGAAATGAGAGGCGGAGGTTTCTTCAAAGAAACCCCAACAATCCCTATTTATCCGTATTGAGACAATTTGTACGTTTGAGTACAACCGACTCCAAACGCAAAATATTGTTAATTCGACACACGCTGCTCATACATTTCATCTTAAAGCCAAACCATATTAATGGTGTAAGAGATGAAGCGGTCAGACGCGCTAGGCTTCTAGCTCGTGCTACGGCTTAAATAAGCAAGCATATAACCTTGGTATTTAGTTCTGATTGAATGTTAGCGTATACAACATGTCCCGACAGATGAGTAGTGCTACGATGTGTAAGCATACAGACTCGACGAGTGAGACAGAATGTCTGTTACCTATACAAACACCCACTACTATTTCGGTAATTGGTGGTACCTGCAGTGGAAAAACCTGTCTGACTAAAAGAATCTTGCAGAATGCTGATGTGATGTTTAATAGGCCACCTAACTTGATCGTGTACTGTTACGCAGTATGGCAAGACATGTATACCGAAATGCAAACGTCTCTAACGAACGAATTGTTTCACGAAAACCTACCGACGGAAACGGAACTGTACTCTTGGTCTGAACAATCTGATAAAAATATGGTCTTAGTGCTGGATGATTTAATGATGGAAGTATGCAAAAGCTGTCTCATGCTAAATGTATACACAACCTTGTCCCATCATCTCGGCATCACCGCCATTAACATACAACAGTCGGCCTATCCTAAAGGCGAATGCAATAGAAGTATATCCTTGAACACCCACATGTTTATTTTAATGTCTAACCCTCGTTCAGCACACGAGTATAAAATTTTAGCCGCTCAGATGTTTCCCGGACAAGCTAAATATGTCTCTGAATCATTACGAGATGCTGTGGAATGTAGGAAATACGGCTACCTCGTCATAGACGCTAGTCCTTACAACGACCCTCAGTACGGACGACTGCGTACGGGCATATTTCCCAATGAAATATGTACTGTGTATTTACCAAAAGACTGAAGTACTATAAAAAGTCAAGATGATTCTGAAAGATTGTCATTTTACTACATCACTGACATGGGAAAAGTCTATTCCTGGTGCAGTGTAGCCTACCCACCCGGTGAATCAGAGACGATTTTGTCAGCAGAGTCCACAGTGGTATAAGCCGAAATCGGAGTGTATCGAATCGTTGAATCATGTTGTCAAACGTTGGGTTGACCTACCAGACTGTTGGGACGGACCGTATTATTTTCTATTAAGCAGGACGACTTTCGCTACCTAAGCATGAACGCTCTCATACGAAACAACATGACCTATCTGACTATGCTCAAAGAAGGTCATGTAAAACAGAGACGAGCCATGTTATCTCATGCTTCCCCTAATCAATTCAAATCTATCATCGAAATGATATATAACCTATTGCGTGGAAATATACCGATACAGGAAAGTGTTAAAAGAAACCTACATCGCTATCGATCCGTCATTCGTGCTTTGGCTGACAAGGCAGTCACTAAGAAGCACAAGTTGCAGATGTTAAAATCTCACCAATATATACTACCACCTTGTATTTCTACACTACTCGACTACATACGAGCGGATAAAGATAGTGGAGAGAGCGAACCTACCAACAATGAGCAAGCCGATGATTCTGTTATCGAGGGAAACTTATCACAGACTGATTCAGAAAGTGAATGGGAAGGGTGACAATGAATTGGAGAAGGCAACCCCACCTTTAACACAGCCGAGCCTTACACACTATAAACTAGTAACTCGCAATACATCAACTTTTGATGATTGGTCAGCGTGTCCGAGAGACATCGAATTAAACATCATAAGAGATATTGTACAGAATGCAACCGATGCTCATTTGGTTGGACGCATGCTAGCTTTGTGGAACGTTTTAAAACAAAATGACGTTAAATGGAATGAGACGGATAACATCATAACGAGTGAGGGACGCGTGATACCAAGGACGAGTCTAGCGAATTTCATTCGCTATACAATATTGTCACCATCAAAGATACCCACCCTTCCTCAACCCGTGGGCTACGAGACTTTTCTGCAGCTAATGAAACAGTATCACGTTCCAACATATTTCTTTCAGACGAAGGAAGGAAAATCACGAACATGAACAAGAAATGATAAAGATATCTATTTAAAACATAAGGTTACACATGGTGTGCCTGGACAGAAAACATTGAAGAAAATGAAATCGCTGGAAAAGTTTTCATTGTGAACGATTGTCCATCACTTTAATCGTAAATGTTAATAGAGATGGGAATAAAACTACATTTTACATTCACACGGTCTCTCGTTGTTTGTCTTGATGTTGTTATGCTACATTCGATGATGCAGTCCTTCTTGCAATAGCTCACCCAGGTTTGAGTATTTTTGCACACAGCAGCGTCTACATGAGAGTATGTTAGAACATTAGAACACGTAACTATAGTCACTACATGTTCTTCTTCTTCTTCGTCTTCTTTTACACACGATATGCATAACTTGTATTTATATATTTTGTCCATCACTGAGTTCACATTGCTATCCACACGGGTTCACATTACGAGAAGTAGTGGTTGCAGCTGTAGTCATTTTAGGGTTGTCATCAGTGTTATACAAACGTGGTTCATCGGTACTGCGCTCCCCTCTTCATTGCTGTCATGTCGTCGAGAGCCAAAACTATAAAAAAAAAGAATTATTGTTTTGTTTTATATGCATGTTGACTGAGTGACTACAGACTTCACGAACGTTAATAAAACCATGATACGAGAATAGAAACTAATTTTTAAAACATATAATACATTTTCAACCAAAAGATAAATTATAAAAATCTAAAGTAAGTGAGCGAGTTAGTGAGTGAGTTTTAACGGCGCTTTGAAGAATATTTAAGTTATATCACGGCATGTCAACATAATGTGGGAGAAAACCCCGAAGTGATGCAAGTTTTAGACGTTTACCACTTTGGTGAATCCCACGAGCATGGGTATAATACTTATGCAGATATAATCCTCAATTATCCCGCGATATGCCAAGGAGAGGCACGGGCCACCGAGCTGTGGGTGCCTGTGCCTATAATAAAAACAGAAGATGAGGTTGGGTTAAATGGCCGAGGGTGTGCAGGTACCAGTGGGCTACTTAGCTGCTAATTGTGTATACCAAAATGCTACCGTTGCCATGGCCACGCGCGTGGCCGACGGCGATTGCAGCTAGCGCTGCTGGCCTGGGACTGCTACCGCTGTCCGGCCCCCACGGTAGCATATTTAAACGCTACCATTGCTTGGCAACTCCCACGCTGCCAAAAGCAGCTCCACGCTGCTGGCCTAAGTCAGACTACCGCTGCCCGGCCCCAGGTAGCCGGCCAAAGCAGATCACACTGCCCGGCCCCATTAGCAAAACCATTGTGCGGCCCCCGCCGCGGACCCAACTGTCCGCTACCGCTTGACAAGACGACTTCCGCCGCCGGGCCCATATACGTGGCAATTGTTTGCCCCAACGTATGTTATTTTACGATTCCCCGGCTGAAAAGTCGGGAAAGACAAGGTTCCCACTGAGAAGCAGGTAACCCCGGAAAGGTTCCCGCTGAAAAGCAGGTAGCCTTAAGCACGAGTATTAATTTGGAAGCAAGTTAATTTGTTACTAGCAGTGTAGCCCACAAGAACCCCGCCACAAAGCACCCGAGTGCTACCCCACACCCACGGCCACGCGTTGCGTGGAGATAGCATTGTTGCCCGGCTTGCCTATGTACTGAAAGGAAACACTAACCTGTGGAGATAATATCTTTACTGGCGCAAAACGAGCGCCAGGGCATGCAATAAATTGTCCGTAAACACACACAGTCCTTTGTCGCTGAGGTGGACGCCCTCCCAGGCGTACCATGTCTTGTCTGATGCCAGGATCTGGGGATGTGGCACCATTGTACCGCCGAGCTCTTTGACTCGGTTGGCCAGTCGGCGGTTGCGGTCTTCCGCATCCCCTCGATCTTTAGTGGGTCCCTGGCATCGTGCCAGTAGCGCCTGGGCAGCATTGAGGATACGATGATCCTGGTGTCAGGAAGCTGGAGTTGTATCCGAAGGGTTGATGCCACCATGTCAAGGTAGAGTTGGCTGCCCTTGACCGCGCACAGGTCGTTGGAGCCCAGGTGAATGATGAGGGCTCTGGGGCTGCGCCGTGTCGCCTTGACCTGTGCATCCAGAATGGTGTCCAGCTCCTTCCACCTCATCCCCCCTCGTGCCAGCCATAGCATCCTCGGTTGGTTCGGACTGGTGCCCTTCAGGAGCAATTACTGCCGTGCCCTGGCCATGAAGCTGGATCCCACCATCCAAACTGTAAACAATAAGAAGTGTAGTAAGTACCATGAAAGACTATTTGAATTAGTTGTGCAACAATGAATTTGTTGGTAGGCGTATGTAAGCGTTGTAGCAATCTGATTTCCACCTGCCGTATTGTTGTATGAGGTGTTCGGGCACCCCGTTCATGGCTGCTGATGTGGCTGCCCCAATGCGGAAGGAGTGCGAAGAATAGCAGGCCGTGTTTATGTTGCTGTGTGCTAAGGCCTTTTTTAGGAGTGCCTGGAATTGGTACCTTGTAACGGGGGAATGGTCAAAGTGGACGAATGCATGTTGTGGGCCGGAGGGGCGCGCCTCCAGGTAGTGCTTGATGGCGACTACCGGACATAGCGGATTACCTGGTATAGATGACATTGTAACTGTTGTCCCCATCCTGTACTGATCGGACTTTGAGTGTGGTAAATGGATTGAAAGCTGCTGGGGGTTGCCCGAGAAGCTTAGATTCTGGATGGCGCAACCTGTTTTTGAGGGTCCAGTTTGGACCAGTTCGCTAACCCTAAAGAAACCGAAGAAGGCTGTGCAGTTGACTGCCTTGAACAGCCTGGCTTCGTATGCTGATGAGCCTAGAGGCAGATTGTTGGTTACTACCTGCAGCAGATCTGCAGTGATCGGTTTTCTGGTGTCTGGTCGGCCCGCTGATTTGTGTAAGCCGGTTACAATCTTGCCTACCAGGAAATGGTTTGTACAGTCGGTGAGCCCGTGGAATTTGTGGTGTGAAGACAGCGCTGCAATGTAAGTCTTGACTGTGTTGGGGGAGTGGTGAGTGACTGACAGATAAGCAATAAAGTTTACGACCTGATCCAGCGGGACTGGCCACACCTCTTGTAGCTGGTGTGCGGACCGGAACTGGTGCAAGGCATTGATGCCTGTTTGGTAAGTGGCCCATGTATTAGTAGACAGAGATTGTTGTAGGAGTCTGCCGGCTTCCTGCCTCAGATCAGCCATATGTTGCACGGGATAGGTGTGGGGTTCTGGTCCGCGGCTGGTGCTGCCTCTCGGAAGCGTTTGAGCTGAAACCTCGAGAGAGCATCGGCAATAGTGTTAGCAGTGGAACATACATACTTCGCCTTAAACATAATATTAAATCGGAGACACTGCAGGATTAGGCGACGGAGTAGGCTCATCACTCTGGGGGCCTTGGTTGACTGCTTGTTGATTATTGTTACGACGGCTTGGTTGTCGCAGTAAAAGAGGACCTTTTTGTTTGCGAGTTGCTTGCCCCAGATTTGGATGGCCAGTGTGATGGGGAACAGCTCCAGGAGCGTCAAGTCCCGTGTAGTTCCATCCGTCGCCCACTGGGTTGGCCATGCGCCGTTAAACCATTTGCCCTGCATGTAGGCCCCAAAGCCGGCGCCGCCCGCTGCGTCTGAAAACAGCTGGAGGAAATCGCTGTCCACCCATAGTTGGTCCTGAAACACTGAAATGCCGTTGTAACTCGTAAGAAATGTTAACCACATTTGTAGGTCTTCCTCGACCCAGCTGGTAATCCTAATGTGGTGAAATGGTTGCTTACCTTTGCTAAGCAGGTCGATTAGCCTGCGGCTGAATGCCCTAGCCATTGGTATAGCCCTGCACATAAAGTTAAGCTTGCCTATGAGGGACTGAAGGGCCCTTTTTGTGACCTTGATGTTACCTGTTGACAGGATGTCATGGATTTCTCTTGTTGCCTCCTTGATCTTGGGCTATGGGATTCTGATCTGCATTGCAATGGTGTCGATTTCCAGCCCTAGGAATGTCAGTTTGGTTGTGGGGCCCACCGTCTTGTCCTGCGCAATAGGAACCCCAAGCTGTTCAAGTGTATTCACGCATCCGTTGAGGTTGTCTGAGCAGTGGCTGGTGCCTGCTGTGCCCCCCGTTAGGAAGTCATCCAGGTAATGCATGATCGGACGCGTTGGAAGATGCGGTTGCATGCACCATTGCAAGAAGGTACTAAACGTTTCAAATATGGCGTAAGATATGGAGCAACCAAATGGTAAGCATTTATCGAAATAGAACTCACCTTCGAATCTGATGCCTAGCAGCTCGAAATCGGATGGGTGGACTGGTATAATTCTAAAGGCCGACTGAATGTCGAATTTTGCTAGAAGTGCTCCCTTTCCCAGTTGTTGAACCATATGGGTAGCTTCATCAAATCTGGCGTACACAACGGAGCAGGCCTCTGTGTCTATGAAGTCATTTATAGATTTACCCCTGGGATAGGATAGATGGTGAATTAGACGGAATTCCTCCGCATGCTTACCCAGGTGCTGACCATATCCTGGCTGCTTCTTGGGCACCAGGCCTATTGGGGATACTTGGAGGTTGTCTAGGGGGGTGTCCTTGAAGGGGCCCGCCATCCTGCCAAGGTCGACTTCCTTTTGTAGTTTTTGTTTCACGTAGCCTGCCGTGTCTTGGTGCGTGGCTGATCGCAAGTTTCGTGCCAGGCAACCCGTGCGGCTTCCCTGGAACTCGAGCTTAAAGCCAAAGCTAAAACCTACCCATAAATAATTTGCATCTCTGTAATTGACCCTAGCATATTGGCGTAACCAAGGTGCCATTTCATTGAGGTCCACGGGGGAAGGGGCCATTGAATTTACCTGCCTTGCCGGCTTGTTTTCTGTTAGGAAAAGGCTGATTGGGCTTGTATGGGGTCGGTTGGACCCCATTCCCTCGAAAGCAGGTCCTAGAGCTATGGGAATGTTTGCCACACTTACCGCATTTGTGAGTGTACTTACAGTTAACCCTGCTACAGCCAAATTTATTGAAATCCCAGCATACCTGAATGGCGATGTCCCCCTGTACGCGTGTCATTGCGCCCCGTCCGCCCGATTCTGGTTGTCGTACCGGCTGTGTTACCATGTACTTCAACCACAACTCCCCGTCGATGTTGTCCCAGCGTCGTGAGGGGTCCCTTGACATTCTGTGTCGGAATTGTTGGTCGTAGGTTGACCAGGCATCCCCCCCGAATCGAAGTGCCGCCGTCCTTATGGTTTCCATGTAGGACAGCAACCCCTGGGTTGTGCGGACCTCGGAGTGCCTACTAACATATATACACATGAAAATGTGGAAAGCTGAAGTCCAGCTTGCCAGGGACAGACGCTTTGGTTGCTGCTTAATTGGTTTAAAAATTACCTTACCTGAGGAGTCGTACGCCATGGTAATCGTACCGTCCTCGTGACCTCCCTCGTTGTTTGGTAGTATTGTGCCGAGGTCGACATACTCGCCACGCCAGATTTTTTCCCTCACCTGTTGTTTGACGTGCGCGTCTATCCCGTCCGCACGGAAAGAAAGGGAATCCCCGTATCCTGCGGTGTGATTGGCTGGCCAAGCCGCGTCACCGTCGGCCTCGTTGAGAGCATCGGGGATTCTCCCTATGTTGGGCGAAATGGCGGGAGAACTAAAACCACGCCTTACCTGTTGGTTTGCGCTAACCGGGCCAGGCGCTGAATGTTCCAGCAACTGGAGTATTTTTTCCAGTTGCTCGTTTACCTGGGTAGCCGAGTTGGCAGCCTGCGCGGCATTTACAAGCTGCGCCGATTGCACGTTAATTCTGTTGCCACCTTCGATAGTGCCGTAATTGGCAGACTCACCATCAGCTGTTGCCTCCTGTACAATGTGTACTCCAGGGGTTTGTCTTCTGGTTGTCCTGGGCTGCTTGGCTCCCCTCACAAGCTTGTGGTTGACGGTTGCTCTTCTCTTGGGAGGCATCACGAAAGGTCGAGGTGGTGAGTTGGTATTCCACAAGCGTAAATTGTCCCGAGGGTGAAGTTCGGGAGTAGAACGGAATAAATGCGATACGGCGAGTGCTGAAAATAGATGGTATTTAAAGCGTAATCGGCGAAACGGTCGCGATTGTGTAAATGCGATACGGCGAGTGTTGGAATAGATGGTATTCGAAGCGTAATCGGCAAAACGGTCACGACTGGGTACAAAAGAAACGTCCAAAGCGAAAGCGATTAGATACAGTGACACACGTGTGTACTCGGGGAAGGGTTGCTCGTGAATGCCGGACTAACAAAGGGCGGGATGATGCTTGCGCGGGATTATTCCCCGGGCACGGTGCCGAGTGGTGGCCCGGGGTGATTGGGTTACGAGGGGTGGTTGGGTTACAGACGTAATTAGCCCATGGTTTGGATACGCGCGATAAAGTCATTTAGTCGTTAGTACTAAATGTAAGTTTGTTCGTGGTTGACTTGCACAAGGTTGCAGGTGTAAGCATCATCATCATTGGAGTACGTGTCTTTTGTTTTGGTGTAAGCAACTTCATTGGTGACTAGACTTGCGTGGTTTCTTTGTTTGATTTTTGTTTGTTTTTAATATCACAGATACATAAATGTTAAATACATAGACGTTGGAACATAGCTTAAAATTTCTTTTCAATACATGGGACAGAGGGAGGAGAACAGCATACAACAGCATATACCACCACCACCACCCCACCCCCCACCCCCACCCCTCTCTCTCTCTCTCAAAATTATAGACCTGGGTTGTAACCGTATGGTACCGAACTGATGCCGTCATTTAATAAATATCGTCCAGTGGGGTGAGAGCTGTTTTGGTAGTTTTGATGGTGAATAATTCATTGTTAAAACTTCTTATTTGATGGAAGGTGGCCATCGTTTTAGAATGGTTAAATAAACAGTCCTTGAACATTTGATGACGCATATGTTTTTGAATAAGGTTTTTCTGAATACCCTTTGCTGTACGCTTTTCAGCGATGACACCTGGTGCTTTGTCAAAGATGAATGAATAATTCTTGGCACGAATTCCCACAAACTCCCTAATCACTTTACCACCCGCCTCATCTTTCATGACACCGATGGCCTTATGTCGGATGGTAGAATGAAGGGGGTGGTCTTTGGGATAATTGGACGTGTCAAAGAGCTCCAGGTGAGCTTGCATGAACTCGTAGGGGTCTCGGAGAAATGTCCCTACCGGAGATGTCAGCTGGTAAAATACGCTGTCCGTGTCCGTCATCAGTAACTTTAGTTGATCGCCATATTGTTTCACCATAACATCATAATGAAATGACGAGAGAATTTGTTTGGCGTGTTCTAAAATGACGAAGCCAACAGACACTGGCTGATCTAATGTTACGGATACTTTATCCATATTCACCGACACTAAATTTTCTGAAAATATTTTAAAGTTTTTGAAATTTGCTTTTGAACTGTATCGTCTCAGTCTGTTTTCGTCCGTGATCAGTTCAACTTGTTGATAATTTCTAACATTTTGTAATTGTTTTCCATAGACCGCATTGGAGAGAAGTTTAAATAAATCTTTCAAAAAATCGTCGGTGGCCTCTTTAAGTTTTTGGGTGTTAAAATCGATGTAGGATGCCATCCATTTTTCTTGTGAAAATGTCATAACTTTATGAATTTTTGTGAGTTTGAGACCCAAACGTAGATAAAGCTTTAATGTTTCAGAGTGGATGATATAGTTTGTTTTGTCCTTTAACGTCGAGAAAAGTTTGGATCCAGAAGGTTTTTCTCCTTTCACCCCGAGTTCAGTCAAAAGAGCTTTGAGATGGGGAGAGAACTCGGCATAGGGTATGCTCTCACGTGTTGGGGCAACGGGTAGGGAGGCATGAACATGGTGTAGTTCCGAAGGGTAATGTAGGTCAACCTCCATAATGTAGCCATCAGTTCCCTCGATCAGAGCCAATCGATGTCGTCAATCTCTTGCTCCGATAACCATTTAAAGTCGCCACGTGGTAACGGCTTAGACATGGCTGCCCCGTACAAATTGTTGACGTCATAGTACATCAGATAGGACTCGTCCTTGCTGGAGTCAAAATCAGCCATGTACTTATTGTTGGCTTCGGCGTGACGATGACCTATCATGGCCACGCGTCCACGTATACCTCTCTTGATAAAGGTGTACATGTCGGGGTCGGTGAACAAACTCAGAGACTTTCTCGTCATGCGTAAACAAGCATCCATGGCCATGCCTGGTAACGTATAATATTGAAAAGGGTCCAGCCCGTAATATTCCAGACTCATGGTTCGAAATGCCTCCATGACATCAGTCAGAATGAGCGTGTCCACAGCCACATATAGTTTCGTGAAGTCTTTGATCGACTGTATTTGAAACGTGTCCCAGAGTTGACGTGCAAAAGCGTATTCTTCCTCTGAGACTGTTTCCTCGCGAAGAGATGAATGAAACTGATCCCGTGTAGGAAATTTAGTTTCATCCAATACAGCAAAACTCGAGACATATTCGTAAAAGTACGGTAGTTTGCGAGTCAGCGTGTCTACGTGATGAGGAAACTCTTGTTTCAAATGAACGAACTGATTCTGACCTTTATTTCTCAGATTTTTGGCCAACGTATCTAGTGAGGTGTTGAGAAATTTAAAAGAGTCTAGAAACATCAGATCATCAATGCGAAACATGAGAAACTGTTCTGTGTTATGAGGGATGCAGGACAGTTTTCGATCCCTAAACAGTTCTGCAGCCTGAAGAATGAGATGGTTGTCGTATCTGCTTGCATTGTGACATATGCAGACTACTGTCTTGTTTTCCTGGTAATTCACATTACAATAAGAATGACACACCCCTCGAAATGCACCTGTCAAATGATCATGATCGAGATGTCTCTCAAATTCGATTTCGTGTCCGCATAAATAACAACAACTGGTGCTGTCTATCACTTCGCGGTCTGCAGATGTTAGTTTCATAGAGACTGAGTTATCTAAAATATCTTGCATTTCATCGTAATCGTTCAAAAGGTTTTCCATGAAATGTTCAGCTGCTTTCTCACCACAAAACACTTTCAAAGGTTTCGAATATTTCTCAACCCTACATACGATTTTGTAAGCTAGCCACATGGCACGTGATGTTGAATGCGTTGGGTACCACCACCATGATGGTTTGAGTCATTTACCGGATCGAGAATACATTCAAAATCGGCATAGACGACAAATGAGGTCCGTTTGGTTTTTGACATATGAAAAAGCGAAAACTCTCTCACGGCTTTATCTGGCTCGGGCATTTTGATTGTCTGAGCTTTATGGTGACAATAGGGCTTATGCTTTTCTAAACAGTGATTCGAAGTAAACGTCCACAAACATTTGCGACAGATAACTTTATAGTTATGATCCCCTTTCATTCTTACCAAACCAGACAAACTTGTGATGAGTACGAAGTGAGACGTCCCAACATCATTGGATGGTTCTTCATCATCAATATCGGGCGTCAGGAGTAAGAGATCTATCACTCTCTCCTGTGCCACAAGATTGCTTTGATCGCTAATACGAGCAGGGAACACGGTGTCTTCCTCGTACCCGTACACGTTTACAGCTAAATGATTCATGCGTTCAAAACGACCGATATCTTTCAACGGCATGGGAAAGTTAAAGCCCTTGACGTGAAGTTTAGATTCATGTGCCGTGTAAGAATGCACTTGTTCTCGCACATGCTCTGACCCAACAGGGTACAGGTGAGCCAGTACTCAATACAGAAAACATTTCTTGTCCTCTGTGTTTTTAATATTCAGCAGAGAACGTTTGCATTGCAGCTGACTGGGAGGGGGAATGTAGGAAGAGCTGCGAAAAGGTTGAAATTTCACAACGGATAATTTCACACTGCTGACCTCTTCAAAGTTTAAATTGGAACTATCCCCTTCAAAATTGTCTAAATCTCTCATGATTTTATTCATATATGATAAGGATTGCGTGTCTAAATCGTCGGCCACAGTAGCTGGTTCCATTCTAGTTCTAAAATAAGGCGTGACATAAGTTTTCTCGCCTGTTGGTCCGGTCTTACTCAGTTTAAAATTGACGCATAAGCCCCATTTGATGGCACGTTTTTGCGCCAATTCAGATTCTAAATGTTGAATAACATTGGGTTGAATTTTCAATAAATAGAAATATGGATCGTGGCCTTCCGGACCATGAGGAATGAAATCATATTCCCTAGCCCGGCCTCCTAATGCTTGTCGGGAATAGCACCCCTGCGGAGCCTCGTTGGGTCTCCGGCGTTTGGCTGCCGAGTCTGCCCCACGACCAGTTTGAGAAGACAGATGGTTTCGTTTTAAGTGCGAAATGAGAGCTTTTGTGGAAGGAAAAGATTTGGAACACGTTCTACAATTAAACGTTTGATTGGTAGAAGCAGAGCTAGTACTCGCAGATTGAGTACTGTTTGAACCACGATGACTGTGGGAAACATGACTTCTATAGGTGGGATAGTCCGGAAGAACGGTATGACAAAATTGACACGTCAAATTATCTCTGTCATGTAAATGATACGTTTTCGTATGCGAATCTAAATTGTCTTTACGATTGAAACTTTGGAACAGGTGTTACATGTAAACGCTTGAGACAAAGGTCCGCAATTTCTCTGATGTCTAACTAAAGCTCGTTTGGAGCTGTATACCTTCTGACAAAACACACAGGTATAAACAGGGGTGGTAAAAGGGGACGACATGATGAAGTCCAAAAACACCCAAATAAGAAACCAACACAAATGTCTAGTTGCTGAAACAGACAAACGTAAATATCAAGGACAAGAAAACGAGTGAGCACGTATGTTACAAAACGTCTTGAACAGTATACCGTGTTTCACGATTTACAAAATGTTCTTTGATTACAATTTCACATTACTAATACCTTGACAACGTTTCTTAAATTTGAGAGAAACTAAGATAAATAGACGTGACTTACTGTATCATTGACATTTGACTGTAAAGTGAGAGTTTTGTTTTTCCTATCTATTTTCATAGGTCTTATCAGCAGCAGTGCCTACATGCGCATGTGTCACGAGCCGAGATCATTTCGCTTTTAAAGCTGAACTTCTTGTGAAATACTAAGGGTTCGCGCACTCTTTTAACCCTTGAAACGTTTGATAGATGTCATTTAAATGCATTATAATATCGTTGAATGAAAAGGGTTAATCTCACGATCATTTGCTTCCAACGAGACAAGTCTGCGTGGTTGACTGGTCAACACTTCAGTCTAGAGAGAACTTTAGAATTCCTGATAAACTATTCAAAGTGACATTCCACTTCGCTCAGCCGCTCAACATGAAGAGAAAGTTGGAATTTTGATTAAACTATTCAGAGCGACATTCCAATTCATTTAATGAATACTATTTTCAAAATGATAAAACATGTGTTCGACACGGGTGACCCACATCGTCTCCCAACAGCTGCAGCCTAAATTCACGCACGGTTTAGCAATGCCTGATGTAATGTATCCATCTAGGTCAATCAGTACAACGCGTGTCTCGCCCATTCATACAGCTTAATGTCGGATGGGGTAAACATTATTTTCAGAGTACATACTAACGTATTATCTCTAAACAGGGTACTGTAACTTATACATGGGTTACCATAAGGGGGACGGATATTTCTATAAGACCATTTACGGTGGTATATCACAGCGTAGGGTTGAGGTGGGTAAAAATTCTTAAAGCCGATAC